AAGTCATGATCCAGACATGCAAGTTTTAGCTACAGGAGTAACAATGTGAGGCAAAATGTGCTGCTTGACGGAGGTCTGTGTTCTTTAAGTGTATATTGTTTTTTTTATTAATGTATTTTCCATGTGCTGCTATGAAAAACATTGTATTTAATTTCTACATCGCTTTTACAGATTGGCTAAAAAAAACAATATACACTTAAAGAACACAGACCTCCGTCAAGCAGCACATTTTGCCTCATATTGTTACTCCTGTAGCTAAAACTTGCATGTCTGGATCATGACTTTTTGAGTCCAATGCTGAAGCTGTCAGTAGTCACTGCTGACACCCTCTGGTTTAGGGGGGAACTGCTTGTTTCCCTCATGAATCACTATCTCAAAATGAATTCTTAAAAAAAAAAAATCCTGTGTTCAGATTTTGATCTTGAACATCACCAAAATTTGATGGATTGTTCCTTGGCATTACCTTTGGTAAAAATCTAATTAAAACCGTTCAACTTTTCGAGTTATTCCTTAAAACATAACATCCTTGACAGAGGTAAAAATTGTAGAAAAAGGTATAAAGGCAAGATTACTTAAAGCGTTTGGCACTGTTAAACTATTTCTATTTCTTTCTAGCTATGTTTTTTTTTTGGCTGTTGTCAAATTATGAGACTCACCTTTTCATTTTTCCAGCCCTTACTCTTCTAAAATGTATTCATTTTCACTAATTAGACATTTCCATCCCTCAGTTTTCTCCTACATGCTGTAATTTATTTTTATATTTATTATGTTCTTACGTGTCTCCTGCTTGCATCTAGATTCTTAACCAGCAAACATTAAATTACAGAATTGCATATGAGTGCAAAAACAGCTAAAGTCCAAATGAGAGCTTTTTAAAGGAAGCCTCCAAAACTGTTACTAAAACCATGTTAAGGAATGGCAAGCAATGTTCAGCAATTTAAAGAAACACTTTAATACATTTATTCGATTTTTTTACTGTGCAGTTACAGTTGAAAATACACTAAGCCTGAAAAAATGGGAAAAAAACTAAAGTTTACACCTTGTGGTGACAGCAGGTGAGAAACCCAAACATTTTGTGGCCTTTGCAGTAAGTTTCTAATCTTCGCCTCTGTTCCTTTGTGTCTGCATGCAGGAGGAACGAGTGCGATCATGTCAAATGTCATGGTAAATGCCAGCAAAGTGGCCTCCATTGCAGCGGTGCTGATATTACCGAGGAATGGTACAAAGTGTTCCCTCAGTTACCTGCGGAAAAAGGTGAGTAAGCAGAGGATAAAGATGAGAGCCTGTTATGTCAAACACTGAAATATAATAAGGAACACACTTTTTAAACAAGTCAAATTGGTTCAGATTAAGGAAGAAGCTGCTTAAATTTTTTTTTTACGAAAACAGACAAATAACGTTTGGAACATGGTCTGTTACATTGGCTGACATTAAAAAAAGGAGCCGACGAGCGAGAAACGATTTCATCATTAACATTCATGAGTAGGAACATGGGTGGCTTCCAGCATGCTGCGCTGCTGTCTGAAACTAAACACACGTAGCAAAACACTGAAATTACCTCCCTAATTGATTGGTTTGGAGACGACGAGAACATCATCAGGAATCTAAATGCACTGACACAACATGAGGCGAAGAGACAGTCCTCGCTGAATGTCAAGCACACTGATGTGTTGCAGTGTAATCATAAAAATACACCGTTAGCTCTACCTCTGTGTCTCAGGAGCTTCTTAGGTTTTTATAGGGTCAGACGGGCTGAATGGTGTTTCTATTTGTTGGGATTTTTTCTTCCTTTTTTTAAGCCACAAAAGTGTGATCATTAAAGCCGGATCAATTCGTTATTGAACAGCTTAATGACACCCCAGTGGCCCCGGCAGCACTATCCTAAAAAGACTGTTTTGTGTTAATTATCCTCTCAGCACTTGTTGTCACTAAGTGCCTTCTTGGCATATTTATAAGAGCGAGTAACATGGCATGATTATCGTCTTATGTTTGCATGCCCCAGAGAGGGAAGAGTTTTTCTGTTAGAAATCTAGTTTCTGAAAAGAAGAAGCTCTTGGTAAGATAAATGAAAAGACTCATGCTTCAGTGTTCTAACAAATAGAATAAAATAAACAATTTGAATCTGCTGCTCATCTTCTAACCAATGTTCTTTGATAGTCTGGGAAAGCCTGCAAGTATTTAATGCTGCAGATTTGAATCAGCATTTAAAATCTTTATATTTCCAAATTTTATTACTTGTACTGAAATATCTACTTTTTAATTCTTTAATTCCCATGAGTTTATACATCTACAGGTTATGAAAGCTAACATTAGGGAAGTCATGGTCTCAGTGGTTAAAGAAACATGTAAAGACAAAAAAAGTTATCATGAAAACAACAGATGTATATTCAACTATAATACAATAGACAGAAATAATATTCGATATGTTTTGCTGTTTAAGAAAAAAAAAGAACAAGGTTTAACCA